AGCATATCACACATATGCTCAAAAATAGCGCGTTTTTCGTAGTAAATTAATTGTTTAAAAAATTTTCTAATTATTTTAGTCGTCAGAACTCTTTGGAAAAGCAATGTATTTGCCCAGAACTACACGAAAACTCTTTAATTATTAACAGAACTATCAATATACGGCCAGCATATCACACATATACTCAAAAATGCGTGTTTTTCGGGTAAAATAATTGTTTAAAAATTTTCTAATTATTTTAGTCGTCAGAACTTTTTGGAAAAGCAATGTACTCGCCCAGAACTAGAAGAGAACTGTCTAATTTTTAGCAGAACTATCAATATGCGGCCAGCATATCACATATATGTACAAAAATGCGTGTTTTTCGGGTAAAATAATTGTGAAAAAATTTTCTAATTATTTTAGTCGTCAGAACTCTTTGGAAAAGCAATGTACTGGCTCAGAACTACACGAAAACTCTTTAATTATCAACAGAACTATCAATATACGGCCAGCATATCACATATATGTTCAGTGTCCTCTATTTTTTATCTGCTAACTTTCCGTAGCAGATCATTTTTTTCGATCGGTGTTTTTTTTATAAAATCACCAGAACTATCATTAAAACTATCAGGAACTATAGAACTCGACTGCATGCGACAAGAACTCTCTCTTATTTTTGATCTGCTAGAAAATGATCTGCTACGGGAAGTTAGCAGATCATTTTTTCGATTGGTGTTTTTTTGGATAAAATCACCAGAACTATTACTAAAAACTATAAGGAACTATAGAACTCGACTGCATGCGACAAGAACTCTCTTTTATTTTTGATCTGCTGGAAAATGATATGCTAGGTTCACGAACATCGAATAATGAGAAAAGCGTTAAACAACTGTAGCGTACGGACGAAGAGGAACGTTCGTTCTCGTTCGCGTCCGCAACGGTGGCTCATAATTACTCCCGTTAATTACTAACGCTGGCATTTTGAGCCAGTAGTCAACAACTAATATCCGCATTTCCCCGCATAACTTCTCGGCGACACGGTGTGACCTAGAACCACCGGATTACATTTAAAGGACAGATCCTGCGTCCGAATTGCAGTAGATTTTTCCTTGACAGAAATCCAAAGAAGCGGCGACAGTTTTAAAAATTGCAAATTAAACAAAAATTAAGAAATCAGAGCAGATAATAATTGTTTTACAATCATCATTTGACTTTCATGTATTTTCATTTCAATACAATTTTAATTTGAGAGATTTGTTAAAATTTCTAGTACTATAATCTGATATTTTTGTGAAAAAGAAAAATCAATTCTATATACATATTTTCCACAAAAGATCTATCTCTAAAATATTACATATAGGACTCGAAATATCTTGGAAAGGAATTTCCAGGGAAATTATTGCGACATTTATAGCGAAAATGGGAGAGCGAAAATTCGATTTGATGAAGTTCGCTCCGCTAAACCGACGAATTATCTGTTAACATCAGATTTCCATATTTTCGCGACTATAATTCGAAGGTAATGCGCGCATATTTTAAACGAGCGCCGAGTAATTATTTATGAGCGGTCGCTTTCGATCGCAGCATGAAAGTCAATTATGAAACGTATGCATAATGCGCTTTTACGATTATCTTGCAATTATAAGCGACATCGAACGTGTCAAAGCTGACATTTTACTTTATAAGAATCTGCCTACGGAATAAAATTATATATATCGCGCGTTCTTATAGTCATTATACAATATTTTACTGATAATACGAGTTTTGTACTGTCAATGTAAAAAACGATTTCTATGTCAAGGATGGCATGTAACATGTACAAACGATCCTCAGCAATTGATTATTATTCATTAGTGTAAAATAATAATTTATAATGAAAATAATTACAAAACGCAGGATTGCATAAAATATTTTTCTCATTAAAAAAACATCAGATTAAAATATTGTACAATAACCTAAATAAGCTACGAGCAAAAGCTGAGAAAAAAGCTTATACAGTAGATGATATCATTTAATTAATAATCGCGTCTCTCTTGCTGCGACGCTTGAAACCTGGTTGTCGCAATAGAATGCTCGTTTCAATAGATGGGATACCTAAATTTCACCAACTGATTATCATCGCGATCCGTTAATTAACTGTTTGTAAGCGAAATATACTTTGACGTACGCTATTCTATCAGAATATGAGGGCCGCTAAAATGCAATTCAATTAACGCGACACGCAAACGCGTTATATGGGACGCAGGGTTGCTGCGAGCTTCGAAAACTTTAAATATTGTGAATCACAATATCGCGGCACGTCGCTCGTGGAAGCGGCCCTTCTTCTAATCTTAGCGACGTGTGATCAGGAATAATTAACGATCGCGCTCTACGCGGGATGCATCCAAATATTTTTAACGCGCGTAACATGATCTGTCTCTCTCTCTTGAGACGATGGGTATATTAGATTCACATCACTTTACTTTCGTCAGGCTTTACCCGAAATCAGTCTAATTTTACCGCGACGGAGCTCCTCTTACACTAACGTGATTCACATCCCGTTTGTTATTCCGACAGGCATGACTAACACCGTCATTCGGTGAATGATCGTAATCCGAGCGATTGTTAGAGGGGTCCGAGTCCCCGTTCACGCGAAAAGTATATTTAATTAAAGAGGATAAAATTACATCAAGTTTTTGGAATATTTTGTCGTGCGCGTTAGACATAAATTTAGTGTGAAATATTAAATGCTGATAATTCTATGATTAAAATAACGCAAAAAGTTAGCGGTGTATATTTATACTTTAAAATGCAATTTGACAGTTATAATAATATTCCATATAACAATATGAAAAGTTAATATTTTTGTTCCAAGGTAAATATAAGAAAATAAAATGTAAAATGAAATATAAGATAAAAACAGATACAAATATAGGGAAAGAGAAAATAAACTATTATTGAAAAAGTATATCATGTGTACAATATGTAATATTTTATATTGTAATATAAAAAGATCGATCAATATTTTTCATCTAAGTAATATTATGTCGTCTATCATCGCGCATTGTTTGGTCTATCACCTCACATATTAACGTCATCCATCTTTTTGTTTATATCAGGTGCAGACGCGAGCCTGCAAAAAGCTGCAGTCGATCACTCTCCACGAAAAAAGGGAACCACATTAAGCGCAAACAAACAAAAAAAGAAACAGCGTCATTACATTTCTTTTCAACGATAGGCAACCTTGCATCGCGTCGAGACGCATCTGTATTTCGATCATTTTATTGCTGTGCCGCTTACGAATACGCGAATAAATTTCAGCGGTATCGCGAGATTTTGCATAACCCGGTTATTCTTGGCATTCGACGAATTTAGGCGGAATTGTTAACGCGAAATGCGAAACTGCAATCTTAGAATGGCATGGTATTTTATGCAAAATTAACTATTCGAGATAATTATTTCGGTACTGCATTAAGTCGGAAATATCAATGCAAAGTGATCCTTGATTTCCTCAATTTTGTAGACTTTTATACGAAAAACTGATTATTTGGAGCATTAGATATTTTGGATATATTCCACTGTGTCGACGATAAGAATTCAAGGCATTAACAACACTCCAAATTAATGCTATCACGAATTACTTTTAACGAAAACGCGGAAGATCTGAAAGAAGTCAAGGACTTCACTCCGAATATGTCCAGCGTCCCGACAGCTTTTTCATTACGTCACGCCAAAGGCCCTGTAAAACTCGTCGGTGGACATCAACAGATCCAAACGCAGTCGGTCCAAGCACGTTTGGGTCCTACCGACGGACTCCCCCACATTTTTCTCGGCCTCCTTCCATACTTAAAATTTCTCGCATTCCCGTCTCGAAGATGAAAGAAAAAACACTCTCGACGGCGGCAGGGGGTTAATAGCCGTCTTTCTTTTTCCTCGCCCGTTTCGCACGGCGGCGGCGGCGTCGGCGGCGTATCGACCGGGTTGGGCGCAGTGCGACCACGCTCAACTACGCTCGTCGTGCCGTGCAAACGCGAGAGACGTCGGAGCACAGGCATGCACGATCGAATGAAAACGCCATAACAGTTTCGGCGGGCCGCAGGTGCGACGAAACGACCGTCTGATCGCACCTGCGATGTGCCGTCGCAATCACCGCCGCGCCATCGTTCTCGATGACGGAAAAAGCAAACCGCCTCAATGCACGCAATATGCGACGAGCCGAGAGATCAGCGGAACGCGCTGCGTGTACGTATATACACACGCCTGGACGCTTGTCGCGCGAATCAGGTAAATGACGAATGTAGGGCACGGCACGGCGCGGCGCGAGACAGAAGACAAATAGAGAGAGAGCGAGAAAGAGAAGGAAAGCAGTAGACACGGGAGAAAGAGATATTTGAAATCACCTCCATGATCGTTTCCGTAAGAACTCGATGGTGGTGTCGACTCGAAGACCGCCGCGAAGCTCGCGTGGGTGAACCCGACGCAGAGGCACACCAGCAGGCCGCAGAACAGCATGCTCATCGTCGTCGTCTTCGTCCTCGCCTGCGGCAGCATATTTCCACCGCTGCGAATCACCATCCCGTCGCCCGACGTAATCGTCGTCCTCGCTGTTGTCGCGGTCGTCACGGGATCGTACTGCTTGTATCCGCGTGCGCGGCGTCGACTCTATATGCACACCTTATTCTCTACCGCGTCCCTTTGCGTCTTGTCACACTCCCGAAACTTCGGCGCTCTCTCGCCGCGCAATGTACTGTCGTCTGTCACTCGCGTGCGCACTCGATGAACACTACTACGCTTTTTAAAGGAGCATCGCCGCCTGACTCTGCACAGAACGGACTATCTCTCGCGCGCCACTCACACAATCGTGGAGTCAATATTTGAGCGGAATATCGATTCGCTGCCCGAGTCGGGAGGGAGAAAGAGAGATAGAGAGAGAAAGAGAGAAAAAGAGAAATATCAGTGCCGATTCTAGCCGCGTGCCCTGGCGCGGCGCTGCTGCCAGCACGCGATATCTTTAAACTCTGTTCACATTCGGAAGAAACTTTAAGATGCATTTACAGACCTGCATTTTTAGCCGCAGCAGGCGGTATTTTTTAAATGGACTACGGGCACGCGTACACACATTGTATAACATCATGTTTAGAAAATTGTTGGAAAGGTTGCAGCATAATTAATAAAGTTTTGATAGTAATATACTCGGATTTATGACATTAATACCATTTATTAACAGTTTTAAATATCACAAAAATGTCACCGCTGATACCGCTAACTTAATAAACTAAATCAATTAATGATTGAATACTTTATTATTTTGGATGTCCAACACATGAAAAATATAGATTTGATAAGAATAAAAATTTGAGTTAAAAGAAATATTTTGATATTCATAATATATTATAATATATTATTAAAATTTGTTTTTAATTTCCGGTTTTCCATCACTAGCTAGCAATACTGTATGATTATTTCTGTTATGCTCATTAATGAAAAAAATTGATTTAATTTTGAATAAATCAGTAAATTCCAATCTATTTTTTATCGGTGCCATCTTTTGAAATTCATCACTGGTGATATCCGATTTATCAATAACCTGCTTCTCCAATAAGCTAACTTCCTTTGGATACATTGTATCTCCGGGCAAAATAAATATCAATCCATCCTTCACACGTGTACACACCTATAAATATATTTATTATCTAATATTTTGCAATCATTTTTTTAAATTCTATGTAGAAAGATATATTTCACTTACCGGAAAATATTTTTGCACACCTTTTTTATTGCGTTTCATAGCCAGATCCAGCACAGTGTCTACATTCTTTATTTTATTTAACGTCGCAATTTCATAGCATTGCGGTGGTGGTAACTTAATGCTCGCCAAGGAAGAGAAGAAGTTTTCTGGCGTTACCCACTAAATTTGTTTTTAGCGATTAGTTCTTACGTAAGATACGCGTCATTATAAAAAATTATTGTCAAATATCTCACTTTTAAATCCTCTATTTCACTTGTTTCATACTCGGTATAAGGAATGGATGGCATACAAGCTAAGTAAAAGACAGTGTCAAAACGTTGTTTAGGTTCATACATCGTCGGCGACAACCAATTGTTCCATTCATATAATGCCCATAAATCCGGATAACATTCCAACTTTTCACAAAGTGTAAAAAATTCTGTGGCATTGTTGTGGACCTTATTTTGCCATGTTTGCAATTCATCTTTGGAGACTAAAAATTACATTATGGATTATATTCATTAAGAATTGAGATATTATATTGAGATTATAATTATAAAAAGTTTAATGCAATAATAACTTTACATATGTTCAAAGAAATAAGCTTACAATTTTAAATTCGTACAATTTAAAAGAAAACAGAGAAAGAGGAGAAATAGATTCTATTTTTAATCACCTATAACCGCTAGTTTTCCGTAAAAAAATTCAAGTCAAAGATGTAGAAAATATATTTGTGCAATAATCATGTAATTCGCGATTTAGTTATATCTATGTTATTATATCTAATTTCTTACTTGGCATATATTGAGCCCAATTAGAAGATATATGGCTGTCTTTTTTGTGTTTGCACATCAAAATTCCGCATTCCTCGAAAGTTTCGCGAATTGCTGTAATACGTAACGAGATCTCTTTGGGCAGCTCATTCTCTTTCGATCGAAAGATCGACGGTCTCTCCGCATTCTTTGGAATTAAAGATGCAAAACCATTGTCGAAACCAAAGGCGGCAAAAAAATCGTGCCATTTCATATCAGAATCAGCTGGATGTACGGTGCCACCCGGAAAGACGTATGATGAAGGAAAGGCATGCGATTTTTGATGACGTTTTAGAAATAGTAGATTGTAATTGTGCTGAAATCATGAATTTTCTATGTTCAAATAAATCGAGGGAAAATGCTTTTTGACAGATTCGCAATCGATCGTGTAAACCATACAATATATTATCCATTAATAACATATTGTATAGTTTATATATATATATATATATATATCGATTGGGTTTAATAAATGGAAATATTTATTGAAATACTGAAATAAATTGAAATAAATGAAAGATTTAAGCAAAAAGTTATACTCAATAATAAAATGTAAATTAGAAATGTTAAAATATATTCAGTTATGCATATGATTGGTTAGTGTAAGATATGTTGATTCTATACATAGTAGATATAATCCAAACTTTTTATCTTAACTTTTTTCTGAATCATTCTACAGCTATGCCACGAAATAAAGTGAAAAATGTTGATTGTACACAAGCTTTTTTCTTATGTTAGATGGAACGTAAAAAAAAAAAATAATATATATATATATATATATATATATATATATGTATTATTTAATTCTCTATGTACTTACAATTGCAGGTGACACTGTGTGATTGTATTTTTCTCCATGTCGTGCTGCTAATATCAAACTCGCTGATTCTCGCCAAGCTTTCATCTTCGGAATTTTTCACACGCGATAGAAAGTATCGGCGACGAACTACTAATGGAAAAATGGAAAAATTTACTACTTGCCGAGATCTTTTACGGCTTATGACTAACTCGGCTAGCACGTGGTTTATTGGAGATTAGTTTTTAATTTTGTCAATTTATTATAAGAATTATCTTAAGAGGGTTTGAAATAAATATTTGACGAAATTAATCTATTTAAATTTTTACATTGTTAAATTGTTTAAACATTACATTGTTACGTAACACTCGTTTAGATATAAGTTTCGAAATTATGTAATCAACAAAAATTGAAAAAATAACTGGCCTTATAAGTCGCATAATAAATATATACTTTTATTTTCATTTTACAATAACAATACGATTCTACGACAATAAACGCACTTAGATGCGTGCTTTCGCTTGAGAACAAATTCTATTGGGAATCTGAATAGTTCCAGTTTGTGCAAGTCAATAACACATACACACGTAACTACGTTTTCTCCTTCGTGTTATTTTCCGTATTCTTCCCGGTTGTTGCGAGCATTAATTCGTATAACTGACACACTTGCTCGTCCCGCAGTTTCTCTAGATCCTCCTCCTTCAGATATTTCCCGAGTGGTTGTCCCGTGTGAGGACCCTTTAGCCCAAGCTGTTCAGCGAGAGAAACTGCGTAGTTCTGAGGGATTAATTAATTTTCGTCAATTACGCGTCGAGTTTTTGTAAAGCATGAATTATCTATGTGTCATAGATAACTTGTCAGCGCTGACGACATCAAACATAACCTGCAATTTCACTCGACGATCGACCACGCGTTTTTACTCACAGTCCATTCGTGGAGAAAGATGATCGCCTCGCTCTCCACGCATTTCTTGTGTCTTCTAAATTCATCGCGTACATAATTATTGCCTAACGGCTGAATTTCAGTCGGTAAACCACGGTGTAACCTTAAAATTGTCTTGTAAAGTAACCTAACGCGCTGCACATGTGTTCGAGAGGCCATGACTCATGGACATGATTGCACTTTTAGATATGATGACTTTTTGTTAAATAAACGCTTATCAATTTTATTGTTAGCCGTTTGATCTAATTGCGATCATCGTTATCTTGATTATCTCGTCTCAGCCATCGTGAGTATTCTGTATAGATTTTTGATATGAATAATTTCATGCTCTTTCTAAGAAAATTTTAATCAGCGGTAAATCTTCATTCTAAGAATCGATTTCAATTAACCAAATTATTGACTTTACAATTATCTGACTTGATGAAATTATATCTAGCAGAAATAATCGTACGTTGTAATGATTAATGATTTAGTCAATTAAACCGAATTTAAATATTTATAGAAGTTTAAAATCGATTTATGAATAATTTTTAAAATTTACTTAAAATTCTTTTTTTATTGTAAAACATTTAAATAGCATTACACGTGGCATTAACTTGACAGACAAAATAGCATATTGATGTATTATGTATGTATTCACAGGATGTGATAATATTGATAAATATTTTTGTAATATGTATTTTTTATTGGATGATACAATTTATTGGAAGTCGTTAAGCAATTTAAGTCCTTTTTATTTAAAAAAATATATTTTTTCTATAGAATATACATACAATATTTATATGTATTATACACACACATACATATATATATATATATATATATATATATATATATA